TTGACCTTTGAGTTTCAATACGTAAATTTTGGGTGATCCATAAGTGACTGACCTCCTGTATAGGGGTCTGGGGGTATGCATTTGTACCTGGGTTCAGACACTACATTTTATCAGTTATCATATTCATTATACTTATGAGGCCTGTTACTTAAATGGTGTTAAGCCACTACCATCATTATTTATTTATTGTCATTAGCAGAAAACAGGAAATGGGAAGCAGGAGGTAAATAATTGAATGACTCCATGAGAACAAGTGTGTGCGGGTATCTTTGGGTGAAGTCGTTTGTGTCTGTGGATGAGAAGAGATGCACATTGCTAGCACTTTGTTCTTTCTGTGCTCGATTTTCTAAAGCACTTTCTTCTGCCGCTTTTTAAGCACTAGTCATGCTGAACTGTTCTGTAGCTTGGCTGGTCTAAGTCAGAGCTTAGACCTTGTATTGTAGAAATTGGTCCTCTAGACAGCACAGTGCCATTTTCATGAGAGCAGTAGTTCCTGCTGTGAGTCACCATCACTGCATAGCAGGAGGAGTTGGTGAGGGTCATTGGCCTTTCAGCTGAGATTCTAGCCACTCCTAGACATTTGAATGTACTTCTGTCCTAACTGTATAGAGAAGTAGGGAGGATTGGAGTAGGGGTTCTGGAGGTTATAGAGTCTATAGACTGGAGGAGGTTGAGAGTGGCTCCTTCCGTCTCTGTTGCTATGGGGAAGCCATCATCCATGCTAGGCTGAGACTTTGTAGTGCAGCTGCTTTGAGCCACATGTACTCCACCAGCAGCCTTCGCCCATGCTCTGTAAGCCCAATAGACTCATTGGTCCCAAAGGGTGAACTCTGTCGGGTTTATACTTTGGTTGGGACCTTATAAGAAAGGCAGTAGTTGTTATTTGCCTCTTTCCTAAGGAGAGGGTTTTCCTGACACCCTGCAACTGTCTCTCTGGTGCTGCACTCTTATCCAGACGCTGTCCCTGGAAAGGTAGTGTTCAGAAGTTGAGAACTGACAGGAAGAATAATTTCATGTGAGAGCCACCATCAAGGCTTCAGGATATTGTCTCCTTTGGTTCTTATCATAGTAATTTTTGGTGCCAGTGAGTGGTAGGATTTTAGTTATCTTGGATTTGGGATTTTAAGAGAGAATTCCCCTTTTTCCACCTTCTAAAGTAGGCTCTCCCTCTGGGATTGCTGACTCACTCTGACTCACAGCTTTCATACTTTCTCCCCCACTGCTTGTGTGTGGAGAAGGTGATTTGGGGAAGGCTAGGGGCCTTGCAGAGCAGGGTCAGTAGTAGGGCTGGGCTGGGCAGAAGAGTCCCGCTTCTATTTGGGCTTGTTTGTTTGTTTGTTTTGTTTGTTTTTTGCTTCAGATATCGTTCATGTGCATGAGATTTTTGAGAAATGTACCCCGTCTGTAGTAGTCTGTTCCCCTTTGTTCAACCTTTAAATGATCCTATGTTTAGAGAAATGCTAATCTTAAGATGGACCAGAACAGTTCTAGTCTCTCACCTTCCTTCAGCTTCAGCTCCAGCCCTTAGCCTCCAGGAGGTCACTAAGATATAAAGGGCCCCTGAGCCTCTATCTGCTAGAGGCTCCTTAGTTCTGGCAAGAAGAAGGGAAGGCAGGCCTTTCCCAAGACTCTTTAGAAGCTTCTGAGATGCTTCTCCATCTCTCAAATTCCGTTCATCCCCTGTAAGAATCCCCATGCTTCCCTTGTCCACCTTCTCTTGTCACTGCCCCTCCCCCTCCTGGGGGTCAGGACACTGGTGGTATAGCACCTCTCTTTGACCTTTGTTCTCCTGTCAGAAGGGGTCCCATCCTCTATGGAGTGGGGACAGGGAGCTGTCTCGTCAGCTGTTGCTTCTTTCTTCCTCCAGCTCCTTAAGCCCCTCCCACATTCTTAGTCCTCCTTGATTTAAGTGTAGTTTTTCCCTCTTAATGAACTCAGTCTTCAAATAGAACTGGGAGCAAATTGGAAACTCTGAGAATTTAGGAATCCTTGGTGAATTATCTTAAATTAATGAGACCAAGAAGGGAAATCAAGTTCAGCTGTACAAATTGCCTTGCGTTCTGGGCTTTGATGATTTAAATTGTAAATTATAATTAAATGCCTCCAAATAGAATGAGAAGTAGCTGCTTAAGTCCTTTGACCTAAAAGTTCCTCTGACCTCTAAACTAGTATAAAATTAGTGTGTAGATCCTCCTTTATGAGGACTTCAGAGAACTTACAGTGTGTGTGAGACACAAACCACTCTTCTAGAGACAGGTGGACAGAGGGAGTGGACAGGAGGACACAGGGAAGAGAGGGTGGGTTTCCATCCACCGTGGAGCAAGATGCTGGGACTTAAATAGGGCTGTTCGTCAGGTGGCACATCTCTGCTGCCCCAAGGGAAGGGTTCTTTGACACTTTCACTGTTATGCAGAGAGACAGGCAGCAAAGCAGGGCATGGAATGAGGAGGTTACATTGAGGCAGTAGTCAAGAGACAACAGCTCATTCCATGTATGAAGTCACAGCCAGTATTTAATGCAGCCTTTTAAACGTGAAGACGGCAGTATACAGTTCCTCATAACCACTCCTATCTGGTGGCCATCTTGATACAGCCTTCCCAGGCTCTGTGTCCTTTCTCTTTAAGTTGTTGTAATGAGAGAGAGCAGGTGGTGCAAAACTGACAGCATCTTCTCTGCTGTCCCTGTTACCATCATTAAAAGAAATATACTTCTTAGGCACAAAACCTAATCACATACTGGACAAGGTGGACAAGGGTTGTCATTCATAGACCCCCACGGAACCTGCATCTCAGCCAAGAAACAGAACATCCTCAGGAGTCCCTCAAACTTTTGTAGTTGACACCCACCCCTGCATGGCATCCTCCTTTTGACTTCACAACACAGACTCCATGGCCTCTGCTTGCACTTCACACCAGCAGACTGCCTGAGTTGGGCTCTGTATGCTTGGCTTTCCCTGTGATTCATCTGTTCTGCTCTAGACATTTACAGATGAAGAACATTTCTATTGTCTCTTGGATCCTACTGTTAATGACTGTCACCATTCTAAGCGTTCTCCATGGTGTATGTGTGGGTTTGTGTGCATGTGTGTGCGCTTGCTTGTGTGTGTGTGTACATGTACATACATAAACATCCATACATGCATTTCTGTTAGCAGTTGCACCCTGAATTGTATTCCAGGTTGCGGATGGATCACCAGTTAGTCATATGTGCAGCTTGGGAAGGGACTGCTAGCTATTAAGAATAGTTATACTGTCCCTACTTTACTGTGTCACTGGTTCCAATTGTCCTACATCCTTGCCAGCTCTTGGCTTTGCCTGCCTATCACTGAGCTATTTAAGTGATTGTTCTAGGCCTCATGGCTTCAGTTTATATTATGTGTGACTTCTGGATTTATTAGAATAATTTTAGTATTTCAAGATGTTCTAGAACATATTGTAGGTGGGTGCTTAGATTACTTCTGGTCTTCATTGTTTACAGTAAGCAGTTTTGTGAATGAGTCTTTTCCATGTTTGAGATGCTTAGCAAGAATTTTTTTGTGTACAATATTTATTAAATTCTGAAATTATAGTATCACACTAAAATGTTATCCACAGTATAGAAGGGTCCCAGGCCTGCCAGCAGTATATATTTTGGAAGAACAGATGGGCATCCCTTGGAGAAAGAATAATTTAGGTGGAATAGGTAGATTTAGTGTTACTTTGTTTTTAGTGTTAGTTTACTCTCAAAATATTTACCATACATACTTCTCTTTTATGAATTTCTCCCCTTGATGGCTATCTCACTAGTGAGTTTTATTCATTCCTACCAACATTATTGTAGAATTTTAGCAGTTGTCCTGGTTTCATTTCTGTTGCTATGACACACACATTGACAAAAGCAGCTTAGAGAAGAAAGGCTTTATTTGGTTTACAGGTCAGATGTCATCGCATTATAGGGTGTGGTGTGGATAGTCAAAGCAGGAGCTCAACAATGTGTTAACTACATCACGTCAACAGGCAAGAGTAGAGAAAAACAGATACGCCCATGGCCAGTGATTGCTTCCTCAGCTAACTTTCTCCAGTCTCCTACATCTCAGGGCCCATGCAGTGGCAGGTGGGGGAGATGGCACTGCCCACAGTGGGCTGGGTCAGTTAGCCCTCAGGACAGTCTTCCACAAAGTTGTTCACAGGCCAACCTGATCTAGATAATTTCTCAACTGAGACTCTCTCCGTAGGCGATTCTAGGTTGTGACAAGTTAAGACCAGCTGTCGAGTAGTCTCGGTGCTTTCTAAGTTTCAATATTTGCCTTGCAAATGTTTTGATTTGTGTGCCATTTGATGACAGCAGACCAGTGAGTAACTTCTCCCTTTTAACAATTTCTAGAGTGGCTCTCCAACCGGTCCATAGCCTGTTGGCTGAGGCTCATAGGCCAGAGATCTTTGGGTACCCCATTGGGAAAGTTAGGAGTTCAGCCAGCAAAAGAACATGGAAATCAGTCCTAGGTTCGAATGCACTGCCCTACTGTCCTCTGCTTCTGCTTCTCAGGAGACTGTGCACTGGGCCCTGAGATCATAACAGCTCATGGCAGGCCCTGGCCTGAGCGTTCCATTCTGCAGGAAGGTACCTGCTCACCATGCATTGGGGGCAATATTGGAGCCCAGTGGCGTGCACTGAGCCCTCTCCTACTAATATGCCCTTGACTCTCACTGTAGCTCTCTGACACACCAGAGAGCAGAGCCTCAGAGCTACACTGCAGCTCCTCTTGGGGTCTGTGCTTTGTGAGTGGGCAACCATGGCCCATCTTTGTTCATTTCTCTAAACCACACTTCCCTCTGGATCCTCAGGGCACACCCATGTGCTCCTGGTGGAGAACCCTTGGACAGAAATGTGCATTTTCTCTCTCATTCTTTTGAGTGAAGAGTTAGATAGGAATAACTGTTGCCTTCCTACCTTTCCGGGTGTCATGCTCTCAGGGACTTAATCTTTGGTGTGCTCAGCAATTTATTCTTCTCTATTTCTAGATGATGGATTTGGATGCCCTTCCATGAAGCAATGCCACATGGTCCAAAAGCAAACATGTCTGGTAAGTCACTTGTTGAATTGACTGGAGCAGTAGCCCAGGTCTTTGGGTGTGTAGACATGGACAGGAGATTGTGTATTGGACATATGGACACCTTTGAGAGTATGCTCTTCACGAGACTAATGGCTCTGTTAGTTATCCTAACTTGTGAAGGCTGGTTCTTTTTAGAACCAGAAGGGATTGGAGTACATGGGATTGGACAAACCTGAAATTCCCTTTCTTGTTGTTTAACCTGCTTCTGAGAGCGTAGTGGGAGCTCTGTGCTGGGCTAGCGAGGCCTCATTCTGACTCCACTGCAGTGACATTGTCACAGCCTCTTCCATCCCCAACACCTGCCCCTTCGGTTAAAGGTGGATCGTCACTTGACACTGAGGAAAAGTCTTGAGACCAAGGCACACCAGAACTTGGTAGCTGAAGGAAGGGAAAGTCAGGCTAGGGCTTCAAGCTTTGTTTTTCTTCCATTGTTCTGCCTCAAAGGCAGGCAGAGCCTCTAGGCAGCAGAGATCTTCACATAGTCTTTGTCCTCACAGAAGCTGTGCTATGGGGGTTGATAGACGGTTGTGAAGATTCTGTGGGACTTGCAATAGAGGAGTGCTGGAGAGCAGAAAGAATCACACAAGCCTTATTATCTGGTTACAATCAGGCCGTCACATAATGTGGCCCATGTTGGTCGAAGAGGATCCCATGGGTCCACCGTGAGAGGAGTTGGGAGGAGGAAGAGGGTAGAGGTGAGAGGCATTCTAGCCCAGTTCCACACCTGTCCCACGACACTGGTTTCAGCATCTTGCCAGGGTTAGGTCCTGTTCTCTAGCTGTAGGAACACAGTTTCTCCATCACCACACTCCTGACTCTTGACTGTGTTTACTTCCATGTCTCAGGGCTTCTGCCGTCTTAGGAATCCAGGTCCTGGAGACAGCTGTTCCTTGGGGAATCAACTGAGGTGTGACTCAGGAACAAGAAGCATATTCTCACCAATGCCATCATGACAGCAAGAGAGCACAGCCCTCGCCATGGTGCCAGGGCCCGTGCGATGCAACGGGCTTCCACCATCGACGTGGCAACTGACATGGTGGGCCTCTCTCTGGCAGGTGAGCTTCACAGGCCAAAACTAGACATTTGGTTATGAACTTGAAGGTCAGACTCCATGCTGTAACAGAGTAGGAAGAGCCAGGGGGCAGCCGGTGACTAAGCATACCCTTGAGAGAGGGTATCCTGGTGTGGTATCATCCTGGTTGGAGTAGGAGAAGGGACAGCTAGAGCCCTGGGAACTGGTCCTGTGGATTGCTCAGCATTTCTTTTCTAGCTTTGGAGGGCATCCTGGGCTTGCCTTCCAGTAGGCAGAATGGGAAGGGGTCTGAGATTTCTTCAGAATCTCTAAAGTAAACTATTTCAAAGTATATAAATCATCTACTGTAATATTTTGGAGTGGGCTAGAGGCATTAGTATTTCTTGTTTCTATTTTTATGCAAAACAAATGCAAGCTAAATTCTGGGGAAGGTTTATTTTGGGTGACTTTTCTGTCATTTCTCTTCTACCAGGAAATATTCAAGACCCAGATGAGCCCATTTTAGAATTCAGCTTAGGTAGGTGCCTCTCTCTCGGTTGTTGTTACTGTTGGTCTGTCTCTGAGTGCCATCACCACTGCTACAGTGTTTCTGGGGGAGATGCAGCATCACTGACTAAGCTGCCTGCTGATGGAGATCTGAGTTGTGTCCAGTAGAGACTGTTATGAAGAAAGTCAATACTTGGGTGCCAATCTTATTGTGGGGGTAAAACTTCATGCTTTAAGACTGAAGTATTTGGAAGGCTATGTGATGCTGAGTTTGTGTACAGAGCAGGCTCTGTGGGCTCTAGTGCAGTGACTGCATGGCTGGGCACACTGTTTCACATGTGGCACCGGCGTCGCTTGTCTCTGGAGGGAGTGGATGGTTACTTTCTATAGGGGAAGGATCACCTGAGTGACCCTGTATGATGAGGGCAAGGTCAAAGAATGGAAGAAGCTGCAGGAGGTTGGACTCAGGTTCTCTTTACCTATAGGGATGGTGGGAGTGGCTGCATGGATATAGGAACTTGCAAAACTCATTGAGTTGTACATTTAAAATGGGTGTGTGCTGTAAGAAAATTTATACCTCAGAAGTGATTTAGAGGAAAATAAAAGAGAAGTCAAAGACTACCAGGCTCATGTGGTAGGCTTACAGCACTAACCAAAACCAGAACTTGGATAAAACAGGTATTGCAGAAGTAGAAGGAAACAAAGAAATTGTAACTTATAGCTTTAAAAAAGGAGGAAGTGTCTCTCTGTGTTCAGTAGCAGGGCACTGTTTATGAAAGGCAGCTGAAGAACAAAGGGCTGTCTTGACATCTAAAACACAACAGGTGAAAGTTACAAATCCAGTAAAGCCTGGAAGATAAACAGGAAACTGTCTCAGCAAGCAACACAGGACACAAGAGAAAGCTCGACAGTCTAGGATGCCCATCATTTAAAAGAGAAAATGGAAAAATGAACAAATAGAGAAAGTTTAGAAATAATTCAAGAGTCCTTTAGAACTGAAGAATGTGAGTCTGATTTAAAAACACTGAGTTCTCAAGGCACCGTGTTTTCCATCAAGTCTGGAAAGTGCCTGGCCATCATTCTGTTGGATGTTCTTCCTTTCGCCCCTTTGTCCTCCCCTTCTGGAGCTCTGATTAAACCTATGCTGGTGAATGTGATCTTCCAGGACTCTCTGGAACTTTTTCTTCTTTTTATTTCTTTGTTCTTCAGACTAAATAATCATAGTTGACATCTCCAAAGTATGCTGATTCTTTCTTTGTCTGCCACTGTTGATCCGCTCTTAATGAGTTTTCATTCCTGTCATCGTACTTTGAATATCTTCTACATGACTAATTTTATGATTTCAGTTCCTTCGCTGATAGTCTCTATTTAACCAGGTATTTTTCTCCGACTTTACCTAGTTTCTTGGTAAGTCAGACATCTGTGTCACCCTCAGGGACAGGTACTGTTAGACTATTTTTTAGATTTTAAATTCTTCTAGATATGAGCAGCATTTCTCTTGTGTGTTTTGTTTTTCATGTTTCATACATTTTGGTTAAAGATTAGGCATTTTAAACAATGCGATGTAGCAACTTTGGAAATCAGATTCTCCCCTTCCTCAGGGTCTTTGTTGTTGTTGTTGTCGTTGCTGCCACTTTTTTGTTTCTGCTGTTGCTGACTGCTTAGCAGTAGCCTCTTGTCACGTGTGGATCCTAGAGTGACTGCTGGGTCACTTAGTGGTCAAGTTAAATTGGATGGATATAATGTGTATATTGGAGACAGGGTGTCACTGTGTAGCCCTAGGTGCCTGAAACTCACAGAGACCGCATGCCTGATTGGGTAGAAAATTTTTTAAAGCTCAAAGAACTAGAGACCTTTGGTGTGAATTTTGCTAAGTGTCTGTATGCATACTGGCCCACGCCTTCAGGGCTCCTTATGCTCCTCCGAGGGTAGGCAGTCTCAGGCGATCACTCATAGTCTCCTGTTTTTTCCTGAGCTTGCAGTGTCCTCGAGCTGTGCATAGCCCTCTGCACGTGCTGACGTGCACGAATGTCAGAGCTTTGCAGAGGGCCTGCTCCTGTTGTTCACTGCCTAGCTTTTCTTTCAGGGATTCATCATCTGTTAAGCTTTTCTGATCAACTCCTTGTTTGCCAAAAAGAGGTTACTATTGCCCTCTTCAGCTGCAGTATTGAAGGAAATGGCTATTGATTTTGGTTGCTCCTGCCATAGTCGTGGTAAGGATGGAATCGGGGCTTCATATGTATTAGCTGTGTTCCACCACTGAGCCACAGCCCAGCTCCAGCTTTAGCCTGATTGTTTCTGATGAGGATTCTCAGAAAAACAAACAAACAAACAAACAAACAGTTTCTACTATGTAAACTCTGGTTTAAGCCAAAGCCTACAAGTTTTTTTTCTTCTAGAAATGGTCAAATAATGATAGTTACCTTAAGAATGAGCCTATGTAAGGTCTCCAATCATATCCTGTTCATTTGGTGACATCTAGGCTACTGGTTTTCACCATAATTTCAGGTGACCACAGGCTGACCAGCAGACTAGTGAGAGTAAACAGTACGACCCTACAGTGTGCTCTGTAGCATCTGAAATAATGAGACAGGGCCTGTACCCACTAGAATTAAAGGATGCCAGTGACTTTGGTACATAAAAAAAAGCCTATTAGAAATATTGACTAATGTGTTTCTAAGTAAACCCATTTCTACCACCAGTCTGTTAACTCTGAAGGTTGCACTCTGCTGAGTAAATGGAGAAACAAACAACAACAAAACTGGAAGAAGCTATACCAGAGTCCAGCAGATACTGCTCTCTAACAGTTTTCTCTGAAAGAAAGATTTTTACAACAAGCTCTTGTTTTGTTTTGTTTTTTTAATTTTCAGCTTCTTTCTTTCTTTTTTTTTTTTCAGAGTATTTGCCTTGCTTCTGCTCCTCTGAAAAGCAGTGAGGGTTGGTGTGGGTATGAAATCTACTCTCTGAAATCTCTCCTTGCCTTCTTAGGCTGTCCTCCATGGTCAAGTCTCATTACATGATTTCGTTCCTACTTTTGATTTGCTGGCTATACAAATGCCTTAGGTGTCTCTTCATCCTTTTTCTATATTCAGTCTCTCTAGTTGCAGTTTTTGGTTAAAGTCACATTCTACATACTTACACTTCAACAAACACTATTTACAAAAGTCACATGGGACTTCTTTACCTTCTGCTCAGTGTAAACTATTTCTTGGAAACAATGTTATTTTCCCCCTCAAGTTACCCTATTTTGGGTCAAGCATACTTTTCGTCCAGAAAATGTATATAGGGGGAGGAGAAGCTCTTTGGAAAGCCGTTTGAGACTCTGCAGAACTGAAACATACCACCTCCAGCTATTATGTTCCACTGAGTAGGCGTGTCAGAAAATTCTAGGTAAAAATACAGTTAAAAGTGCTTTCTCATTCTTCTGGAAGTTCTTTTTTGAATTGGTAGTAGTAGTGGTATGGCGTGTGTGTGTGTGTGTGTGTGTGTGTGTGTGTGTGTGTGTGTGTGAGGAGAGGAGGGCAGGGGGGGAGGAGAGGAGAGGAGAGGAGAGGAGAGGAGAGGAGAGGAGAGGAGA